GTGTGTGTGTGTGTGTGTGTGTGTGTGTGTGTGTGCGCGCAAGAGAGTGCCAGTGGATCTCATATGTTACTGTACATCTGTTTTATGCATGCAGTCTACCAGTAAAAAGTTGTAGTGATATTGATTTCCGTAAACATGGCTAATGTATTTTCTCCATGATATCATTATCTGAGAAAATACATCCTTTCCATTCTCTCTTTTTCTCTGTAAAACTAAACTATGATCCTCCTCGTGCATTCAGCACAAACCACACTTGCGGTATGGTGCTGTGTTACCTCTGTAATGCCCCCTTAGATAAAAATCAAGCAGCAAACAGAGCTGCCACTGCTTTCTTCTAGCCAGGTTTATCTTAGAAAGAACACAATAAGGAACTACTTTCATGATTTTGTGATAAGCTGCTAAAATAACAACTTGTTTTCCAGATATGTAATGTTCGCACTTTTGCCTCTGATTCCTTTTTGTCCTTCTCTAACCTTCCAGACCACTGCAGGAGGCCTGCGTCGGTTCACCAAGCCCCTCGAGTCTCTGGAGCGCTCCCTGGAGCTGTCCTGCCATCGTGGCCGCAAGAGAACCCAAAAGAGGCCAAACTACAAGAACCTGGGCGAGGAAGAGGATGATGAAAGGGATGGTGGAGGGGGAGGAGGCGGAGGACTTGGAGGAGAGGAGACCTGGGATGACAATGGCAGGGGAGACAGGGAGGGAGGCCGGGAGAAGGGAAAAGGTACAGAGGGAGGAGGAGGAGGTGGGAGTTCTAAGGGAAGCAGAGCAAGTGGGGAGACAGCGGAAGGTGAGTGTGTGTGTCTCCTTGGACACAGCAGTTACAGGACTGTGTTAGTGTGTGTTTCTTTACTACCATCAATCAGACACAGTCTCCCATGATGCATTCTGGTTACCCAACAGCCACCACAGCAGCTGCCCTCGTCTCCAAACAGAAAAGAGAGAGACTAACACTTGAAAAGACAAAATGAAATCGTTAGAATCAGAAACATTACTGAAAAACGGCAAAAACAAAAAGAAACTTTTATTTGAAATTCCTCTTTATCTAGTTTTGAGATGAGATCATCCTCTTTTTGCTGCTTCCCATATAAAGTGCCTTTTTATTTCCCCTCATGGTTACCATGGCTACCACGGATCACATGTCCAACACAAATTCCCTGTGGCAGCTGACTGACCTTTTCCACGGTGACACACCATTCATCCTGTGCTCCTCACCTCTCCTCCTGTCTCTCACTCTCGTTCTGTGTGTGTGTGTTTGTGTGCATCAAGTAAAACTCGGCCATTTAACTCATCTGAAATGATTCCTTCTTTACCTTGACTGAAAAGACTTGCAGAGAATATTTACTGAGGGTGGAGCCATCTTCACAAACTGATGCTTGTGAAGGCTCAAATGCACAGAAAAGGTTTTGAAACCGTCGGTTTTGACACAGATTGCATCATGGGCAGTTTCAAAATGAGTCCAGAGCCATTTGAGGGTGGAGAAACGCGGCCCACCAAACAGATTGATTGATAAGTGATACATTTAAAAATCATTTTGAAGGACAGATGATCATTTCTAATGCCGTTGGTTGAAACAGCACTAATGGTTCCTCTAAATTTTAATGCGGCCAAAAAGTAAATTTCATGCATTAGAGTGAGCAGACAATGACGATCTTTCTTTCTTATTTCATTACTTTTTGAACCAGTGAAGGTCAAGAGGGAAGCACTTCAGACGTGCACTCATTATCACTGGTGAAAATATTTTCTTTCTTCATGGCAGTGTGTTTTTGTCGAAAGTGTGTGACGTGAATGTGAAAAGCATGATTTATAAAAACACAATTCAAATGTATTGACACTTGTGCTAGTGACTACAAAAAGAGTGTGTGTGTGTGTGGGTGTGTGTGTGTGTGTGTGTGTAGAGATAGAGATGGTGGTGATGGAGAAGTGTAAGGTGTCTGAGCTGACTGAGCAGAACATCACTGATGAGGAGAAGACGGCTGCAGCCACCCGCACATACGCACAGAGAAGCAGGTACATGCTTCACATATCTGAACACTGAGCAGATCGACGTAAAAATGCAAAGACTGAAGGAAATGAATTGCTTGCGTTGTTGATACATTCTCTCTCTCTCTATCTCTATATATATATACAGACCGTTTTTAGACATGGTGTACAGTGCCCTTGATTGCACCAGTGATGACTACCACGCGCTGTTTGTCCTCTGCCTGCTTTATGCTGTCTCACACAGCAAAGGTCTGTGTTCATTTACATACATGCATTTTAGTGGTTGAAATAGCTTGGTCTACAAAACTGGTGAATTACCTGACACGTGAGCTCTCTATAAAACTGGAATGGCACTCAGTAGAGCACATACTGTACCTCCACCAAGGTCCAACAGTCCCTTTGAATTCTATCAAGCAGCACCAATTTGCAAACATCCATAGATACCAGTTCTCTAAATATGCCAGATATTCTTCTATCAAGATTCATGAATTATTTTCTGTAAAAATGTCAATAAAAGGCCCAATATTTCAACTTTAAATAATGTAATAAAACATTTCTCCCATCTGCCCCATTGTCCAAATGTTCATGTGTGTAATGTAACGTCTTCCATATCTGGTCTGTAGGTATAAACCGTGATCTTCTGGAGAGGCTGCAGCTGCCGGTTCCTGACCAGGAGAGGAGCTCCTACAGCCTGGTGCTGGCAGAGAGACTAATACGGGTTATGAGCCAGGCAGCACAACCAGGTAACGCACAAACAAAAACAGATGCCATTCAGGAACTATTGTAAGTTACTCATAGCACTTACTCATCTTTATCTCTTGACATGTATATAGATGGTAAAGTGCGTCTAGCTACACTGGAGCTGAGCTGCCTTTTATTGAAGCAGTCAGTGCTGTCTGGAAACCACTGTATAATCAAAGATGTTCATCTTGCCTGCCTGGAGGTAAGAGACACACACACACACACATTCACACATGTGCTTTACTCGTACATGACGTAATCATTTCACACACACATAGAACCCATCATTAAAAAAACACAGTCTGTTAATTGCTGTGTGACGAGGAGGTTTCTTTAGAATAAGGAACCTTTGTGGGTGAGTACCAAACTGCTAGTGAATTTGTTATGAGCAAGACCTCACTTTATTAGAATGAGGAAGCTGAATTAGAAAAATGTTATTCATGCTATTGGACACTTCCTTACGTAAGAATAGACCATAACTGCTTTGTGTTACTTCATAAGGTCACACAGGTTACAACAAAAATACATGCTTTATAATGATAAATATAATGCTTATAAGCAACTTATTATAGGGGAATTTAGGAACAATAAGAAGAAAAACATAAGACTATAAAGAATTGGATAAGGTCCAATATATTGATAAGATAAGGGACCTTGCATCCACACACTTATGAACATACTAAATCCATGCTCCATGCATTCACACACCATCAGTTTTGATATGACTGTCATAAATTATTGGCAGTGTGTTTCTTTACGTATTCATTATTTGAATATATACATTTAATAAAGATATATTTCTTTATTTCTGTGTGTGTTACACGAATGTTGGTTCATAGTGTATTTTCCATTTTTGTTTTCCATGTTTGCACTTCAAGGGTGCAAGAGAAGAAAGTCTGCATTTGTTGCGGAGGTTTTACAAGGTGAGTTTACGCAGCAACATTTTTAATGACGCGATATGCCGAAGAGTAAGTCGCCACAGAAGAAGTTGAATCAGTGACCTGTTTTGTTTTTCAAACCTTGTATCTGACATTCAGATCCACTGGAGATAAGATTATATTGTCATGTGTGCGACTGATTAGAACTTAAGCCATTTCCTTGAAGTTGTAATGGTTAATATTGAAAGTGATACTTGCATGCTTTCTTTTTCTCTCTTTATTTCCCTCTATCAGTTTTGGAATCAGTAAAGGAGTTTTTTTTGGCTCACTCTTATTGACTTTATTACATAGATTGCAGCAGATGTTCTCTTTCAGCATTTGTACTGCAGTCAAGTTTGCTGACTTAAAGAAAAAGGTCCTTGCTCAGCAAATCTGTGGTTGTAGTGCGTGTAACTTAGAGGACTGTGGTAACTCTGGAAACCTGCGTCAGTCCATGAGCCCAAAGGAGAATGTCCTGATTGTCATGCCCACAGAAAAGTGTTGTGTGTGTCTACGTCTGTACGCTGTGTTTACACTCAGCAAACACAGGGAGTCTGCAAAAGGGAAACTGGTTGAGGGAGAATGGGCCAGTAAAAATCATTACAGGACACAGTAACTTGTGATGTGAATAATAGCAAAGCAAATAAAAGATCATTCTCTGAAAATAAGTGTGATTGTAAAATATTATGATTCGTCATTAGTGCTCTCAATGCTTCTTTTTCATTTTTTACCATCATCACAGGGAGAGGAGATCTTTCTGGACATGTTTGAAGATGAATACAGAAGCATGACGGTGAGCTTATCTTGATTTAATGTGTGTGTGTTTTCTTTTTTCTGTCCCCTGTCCTCTAAAAACAAAACATGACCAAATACCCAATGCTGTTTCTGCTGGTTTGTCTGTACTCATGCTTGCATTGTGCGTCTGTTGCAGAGTAAACCTCTCAATGTGGAGTATCTAATGATGGATGCCTCGGTGCTGCTGCCACCCACGGGCACTCCTTTGACTGGCATCGACTTTGTCAAGAGACTGCCGTGTGGGGACGTGGAGAAGACACGCAGGGTGTGTCCACTCTTTCTTTCTTTCTTCTTGAGGCTTTTGAGGACATAAAACAACCAGATCATTTTTCCTTCAGTAATGATAAACAGTTTGATATACCAATTTAATAACACTGTCACTGTGTTACAGACATTACACAGTCACAGCATATCAAAGGTCACATTCTGTTGTTTTTGGATCGTTTTCAATGGTTTATCGTAGATGTCAGTTTCAGGCAGAACATTTGATTTAACATTACATTTCTCTGTGTGTGTATGTGGGTCCTCTGCACAGGCGATCCGGGTGTTCTTCATGTTGCGGTCGCTGTCGCTTCAGCTGCAGGGAGAACCTGAGACACAGCTGCCTCTGACCAGACCTGAAGACCTGATCAAAACAGATGATGTGTTAGACCTCAGTAAGACACACACACACACACACACACACACACACAGAGGTGTACTGTACATTGTCAGTCACAAGATGTGTCAGAGCAGGGATGTTCTTTCAGTCGGATGGTCTTGTTGTGTTCCCATCAGTGGGAGGTTTTCCTCAATAGTGAAAGTGCTCTTGAGCAAGGCTGTGTTTTCTCTTTTGAATACATGTACGGAGTTTATTGTTTTATTGTTGATTCATAACAGTAAAACTCAACTGAAAATGAAATTGTTAAATTTGTTTTGATGAACTTTACTTTTTAGACCTTCAATGAACTTTTGCCCAGTTACAGTCACTCCATTGTATTAAGGTCTGATCCAGGTGACAGGTTACTTGACTGCTGAATGGAATTCTTTAGGAGGCAGGGAGTGCCGAGTGCATACTTGTGGCTCCTCCATGAAATCTTACCTAACAGCTTGCCTCACATTTGTTGAAATAGGAGAACAGGGCCGTCTTTCTGATCTATATTTCATAATTGCCCAAGTGCGTACCTCCTCAAAGGCCCAACTGTCCCCTTCAATCCAATTAAGCTGCACTAAATTGCACATACTCATAAGTATCAGATCCCTAAATGTGACTGATTTTGCTCTGTTCAACAAGATCCATGAATTATATCCTGGGAAAATGGTGAAAATAATTAAAACTTTCTATCTCACACTGTTAAATAAAGTGAGATATAGTTCAGGAATCTGCACCAAATTGTATTGGGCTCGTTTTTGTCCCTTCCACATAAGCTTTACATCCTTCCACCTAGTTTCATGGAAAGTCTCACATGTTTTTGCGTAATTTTGGCTCTAGCCACACACTTGCTTCTTGTTTTTTATGGTTTGACGGTTTTTGTTTCATCAGTAGGAGTCAGACTTCACTGTGACTGGCGCCCCATAACTGTAACCTGCGTCAAACCCGCTGCAAAAAGTGCTTCAACATATATAGATATTTTCTAGAAGTTTGATGATTCTAGAAAAATTTCGATTTTCACATAGATTGTAATGTTGTCTTTTTCGAGGTGTGAGGAACCCGAACAGACTTGACCTACATTGAACAGCAGCACATTAACCTTCATGCCTGTCGTCTGTTACAGACAACAGTGACCTCATAGCCTGCATGGTGGTCAGTAAAGATGGCGGCCAGGCCCAGAGGTTCCTCGCTGTAGATGTGTACCAGATGAGTTTGGTCGAACCAGAAACCAAACGCCTCGGATGGGGTGTGGTCAAGTTTGCTGGACTCCTGCAAGTAAGAGAGCAGCTGTTTGTATATTTGTGTTTTAAATTATTTGCCCAACTCCTCTTTTTTCAGCCACAAATTTGTTCTCCCCCCCCCCTTGTCCTCGTCCTCAGTATACATGATATACTGCGTCACATGAGACAGCATCCATTGACAGAATTTACCACGTAATTGTCTTCTAGCTAAAAGCGTGTTTAGTCATGCTGTACCATTTTCCTGTGTATTCTGTTATATCAACATGAAGTTTAAGTGACACTGCCTTCCAACACATTTTAACATCTGCATAAAAATTACAGTATGATGTTTTGAAACTTGTATTGTAACGTGTTACGATGCATTTTGAACCTGTTGTATTAAATACAATGTTTCCTTCCTTTTTCTGTTTTGTGAATGACATGTTAACTTCTGTCACTGAAGTGGAATTTCTCAACGCACTTCCTACCGATTTGTATTTTTCATTCAATTACGTTGAATTACTTTCAACCTCTCTTTTGTTTTTCTCTTCATCTTTCTTTTTACATTTTCAAACTCACATACCCTGTCTTCCTCTCCCTGTTCCCCCTCTCCTCATCTCTCACCCTCCCTCTCTCAACAGGACATGCAGGTGTCTGGTGTTGAGGACGACAGCAGAGCGTTGAACATAGTCATCCATAAGCCCAGCTCCAACCCCCACGCCAAGCCCCTGCCCATCCTCCAGGCCAACTTCATCTTCGCTGACCACATCCGCTGCATCATCGCCAAGCAGAGGCTGGCCAAGGGCCGCATCCAGGCCCGCCGCATGAAGATGCAAAGGATCGCCGGTGGGTAATTAGGAAGCCAGGAGGGCAAACGAGGCGTTAGTTAGCCACGTTTCTGTTAGTTACACCAGTATGCAACATCCGGTGACGCCTCCTGGTCAGCTCACTCTCATATATTGTGGGTTTCTGCTCACTTGCCCAGTCGCTCTTCCTTATCATACTACACCACTGGATCTCACTAGTTTCGATTTTATAAATATTAGATGATTAAGACATGAAAGGGTAAATCAGACCCAAAATTTTTTAATCATAAATGCTATGGAGGTTTTCTGGAAGCTGGTGAAAGGAGAACTCGGGCGGCAGCTGATGCAGAAGAGTTTAATGTAGACTTGATGCATCAAGGAGACCAGAAGGTGGAACAGTATACAAACGCCCCATGTCTCCCACAGCGTCCCCATATATCTCCCTCTACCTGCGTCACCCATTCCAACAGCACACCACACAGGCTAGAATTGCTGTCACTCTCTATGTTACATGTAGGCGTTCGCATCCTATTGGTTAGTTAAGCCTGGAGTCTGAATTCCTAAACGACATTGTGTCCTTACATCTTGCCACTGGTGAAAAACGCAAGAGTTGAAGTTGGTTCCTCTCTGTCTGGGGAATCTGAATTGTGTAAGAAAGTCCTTCAACGTAGACACTACAATGTGCTGTTGGTTGGCCCTTTATCTGGAACCCGACCTTGGGTATTGCTGGGAAAGAAGGAAGTATGTGTGGAAGGCAAGATTGATCCTTGTACAGATGTAATGTGTGAGGATGGTCACAAGTTCTTAAAAAATAATATTTGCAAAAATTCTAAAAGTCTCAAATCTGTTTTGTACCCATTAATGACCCTCCTGTGGCCAATGCACCTGGTGTTTGTGTTTGTACTGTTACAAAACATATTTTTGGAGAATTCTCTTGAATTGTTAATTCTGATGAACTGACTAATCAGCACTTCCTCTCTCTGATTCTTCAGAATCTATCAGTAACATCCTCATTGTCCTGGTTATCATTAACAAGACAATGGGGATGTTTACAATGCAAATAAGACACAAAAGTATTCCTAGTTACACGGAAGCCATACAAATACATGAGTCATCATTTTTCTTTCTCCTATTACACTCGCTCTTCGGACAATCTAAATGAAGTCCCTTATTCTGACATGAGGCAGAAACCTTTCTCTGCAATATCAGTTTATTATCTGACGCTAAATGCACTGCAGAAGCTTTATTTTGATCCCTGTCCTTCCTGTGTATGCAGCTCTGTTGGACCTGCCAGTGCAGCCCAGTGCGACAGAGGTTCTGGGTTTTGGTCAGACAGCAAATGCTTCACCCAGCGGCCTCCCTTTCCGGTTCTACGAACAGTCAAGACGGGCCCCCAACGACCCCACAGCAAACAGATCAGTCTTTGCCTCTGTGGATAAAGTTCCAGGTAAAACACAGACAGATTTGTGAAGCAATAAATGTAGTTAATTACAATTTGCTATAGCAATTTGCTGTTCTGTTGCCACTGGTTTATTAAACCGGCAGATCCTGAACAGGACTTTATTTTTTCTCTCGGTAAGGAAACCGGCTCCCCTGGTAGAAAACTTTGAAATGATAAGGTTTCAGGACGTGCTTATGCAATACGTTTGTGATACTGAGTTTTTTTAGTGAGTCTATCGTAATTGAAATGTATTTGTAGCCACCTTAGTAGTGAATGTGTTTTCCATAGGAACGCTTCTATAATAGATTGATCTTTTCTGTAAGTTTTGGGTAAATTAAAATCACATAAGGTTGAAGGTAAACCATAGTTTTAATTGGTGTGTGTTTGTGCGTGTGTGTTTATGTACACGTGTGCCACCTCCAGGTTTTGCGGTGGCTCACTGTGTGTCGCAGCACAGTCCCTCACCCCTCTCCTCACCCTCGCCTCCCTCCAGTGGGAGTGGCAGCACAGGGAGATGTGACTCTGTTACTGCAAGTACTATATCAGCTCAAAGTCCGACAGGTAGCACACACACGCACACTCACACACACGCCGTTGCTTGCACTGATGTCAGTTGAGTCAAATCAATTTATTTATACATAGTATATTTTATATAGCACCAAATTGTAATAGGTCAACTCAGAGCACTTTTCCTATACAGCAGATCTTTACTGTACTCTTAATTTTCATGTAGAGCATGTGGTTAGATCCTGTCTTAATAACAAGGCGATGGCTGGAGTCTTGTGGGGGTTAACATGTTGTTTCTTTACATCCAAACACAGCACCTGTTAAACTGGCTATGGAAGAACACCATACCTTAGTAGATTCCTCCGATAGATGATTGAGGACATATGTACTCAAAGCTTTGTTTGGGCCTTAGTTCATATGAACTGTTTAAGGTGTAGTAGAGCGTGTAAGGTTTGAGTGCTCTACGTATATAGTCGAGCTGGTGAAACTGGATAGGGCTCCTTATAGTGTCTTGAGTTTCAGGAGAAACTCACTCTAATCCAAGAGTTGTGTCTCGTTCTGGAGTTAAATCTGTTGTTTTGTATGTTTATACAGTGAGTGTTTCAGACAGTGACTCATTGTTAGAGGGTTATTGTGAAACAGTTAACGTAAATCTTTAGTTCCTGCATTGGGTTATCCTGAAGTGAAACTGTAAGCAAGTTCTCACTCTTCTCAGAAAAACACAGTGGGAATTCTTAAAAATATGTGCCTCCTCTCCTCTCCACTAGATGACGGCACATTTTTGGAGCACACTCCGCCCTCCTCCTCAGGCGGAGAAGGGGAAGGGGGAGGTGGAGAAGTAATTCTACTCTCCTCTACTCCTTCATCCCCAGTCCCCGTTCCCACCCTGGCCCCGAGCCTCACCCCGGCCTCCCAGCCCACCATCTCCCTCCTCACCGACAACAACGCCGACACCCTCAGCGTGGAGTCGCTCACGCTACTACCCCCTTCCGACTCGCCGCACCTGCACCCATGCGCCAGCCATGTTCCCACGATGCACTCACTCCAGAGACCTGATGCCTCCATCGCAGAGGAGGAGGAGGAGGTTGAGGAGGAGACAGAGGGAGACAGGAAAGGAGGGCAAAGAGATGAGGAGGAGATGCAAGAGGAGGAGGGATCCCCGACGGATGAGGCAGTCAAAGAGGCACCCACTGACGAGGCACCAGAGGGGGGTGACGAGCCAGAAGGTGAGGACACACATCTAGAGGCGGAGCTTTCTGCTGCAGAGTCACAAAAAAGAGACGACTGTGCGGAGAACACAGAAGACGCAGAGACACGTTCAGAAACACCAGACTCATCTGAACTGGATTAAACTAAACAGAAATTCATGTTCACGTAACGTCATCTCACACACGCAGAGGACAGTAGAGAGTGATGGTGAAACCATCCAGTGAGGCTACAGTATATTTTCATGTTGCGACTTGTTGGAATGGTGTGATGTGGATAAATCAGGAGGCTTTAGAAGTCATCTCAACTTTGTGTTTGCACATGAAGAAAGACTATTTTTATGCACAGACAGAAGACGAGTCCAGTCACCGGTGGAACTCAAGGAAGGCTCAAAGCACATTTGGATTTTTGTGCGCTCGAGTGTGTCCAGCCGTGTTTTTAGCACGCGTGTGCCGACGCACACAACCAGCAAAGTTTTTTACTCATTCTGATCGATCGTCAGCTCAAAGACACACACACCCTATTTTTGTGTCTTATGTTCTCATAACGGTTTTCACCACTATTGTTTTGTGGTGGTGGTCACTACTATGCTAATACACACACACACACACACACACACACACACA